GTTTGGCTAGATATGTCTTTAATTGCTGAAACATAATTTAAATTAACAAGAGTTATTGTAAGAATAAGTGACTCTATGGTGCCTCTGAAATGCACCCCCTTTCTCACCTGGCACTGCACAGCCCACTGGCTTAAAACCAAATTAATAGCTACCCTCCGAAATGGTAAGTCAGTCATAAAGAAAAAGAGACAAACAGGTAGAACAGGCCTTTGAGGTAATTTTCCCCTCCATAAAGATAGGACAGGCAATTAGCTTTTCATCTTTTAAGAAACCAGGCATCATACATGGTGGCAATATTGCCCAGGAAAAACATCCAAACCTTGTTTAACTACAGCAGATCAAGAAATCCAATGCATCAATTTTGTTTCATTTTTTAAAAATTGTTCTTTTACATTTGATTCTGAATAGCTGTTTACATTTCCAAAGCATTTTAATGACATTTTATACTGAGTTATTTGAAAAAAACATTAGATGGACCATTTCTGGAAATGTTAGTAAGGTAAAGGTAAAGGTATCCCTTGTTGACAAGGTTGTCAAGTCGTGTCTGACCGTAGGGTGTTCATCTCTGTTACTAAGCCAAAGAGCCAGCATGATTGCGCAGAACGCTGTTTACCTTCCCAACAAAGTGGTACCTATTTATCTACTTGCACTTGCATGCTTTCAAACTGCTAGGCTGGCAGAAGCTGGGACTAGTGATGGGAGCTCACTCCGTCACGCAGCACTTGGGCCTCAAACTGCCAACCTGCCAAACTTGCAATCAACAGTCAGCCTCTTAACCATTTGAGCCACTGTTATTTGAAAAACATTAGATGGATCATTTCTGGAAATGTTAGTACAGATAAAGGATGAGATGTTGGTTAAAATGCCATACTTACCTGCTTTTAAGAGTTCCTTTATGTAACCTCCTGACAGAAAAAGAAACAAGTCCTAACATTCATTATGAATTTCAGATACTACACTGCTTAAATTTAGCGGGATGGGGAAACATTCAGGACTAAAATGAATGTAGTGACTGGTACAATGTAATCCTACCACTTTGTTTTTACCAACCTTCATTAAGACAGCTCTAACTTATAGCAATCCTATGAAAGAGAGACTTCCAAGACACCCTATTATTAACAGCTCTGCTCACACCCTGCAAACTCAGCACTGTGGCTTCTTTGATTGAATCAATCCACATGTAATGCAACCTTCCTCTTTTCCTACTATCTCCACCTTACCAAGCATTATTGCCTTTTCGAGTGAGTCATGTCATCTCATGACATGTCCAAAGTACAACAGTTTGGTCATTTTGGTTTCTGGGAAGTGTTCATGTTTGATTTGCTCTTGGATCTATTTATTTGCCTTTTGGGCAGTCCATGATATCTGAAGAACCCTCCTCCAGCATCGCATTTCAAAAGAGTTGATTCTCTTCCTGTCATCTTTCTTCACTGGCCAGCTTTCACAACCATACACCAGAAACAGGAAATACAATGACATGGACAATCCTGACTAGTATCCAATGATATATTTTTACCTGCGAGGATCTTCTCTAATTCCTTCATAGCTGCCTTTCCAATTCCCAGCTGCCTTCTGATTTCTTGACTATAGTCCAATCCTATCATTAGCCTGTGAATAAGGTCACAATGTTCCAAGTGAAATATACCAATTTAGCTGTATGACTCTCTCCCAGGAATCACACTCTCACATCCTACAATGAAGCTACAATTTCTGAGTAAGAACCTGCAAAAACACTATGAAGTGGGTCACAATGGTCCTACAAGTTCATTAATCTTAAAAATGATGCTAAATTCATGCAGCAAGATTGGTGTGAGGTAGACCTTATGTTTTCATAAGGTATGGAATCAAACAAGATGCTTAATTATGAAAGTCAATACTATTCGATGCCATACAAAACATTCTGATGTGAATGATTAATGGGTAGTTTGGGGGCAAACTAACAACTTGTTTTAGATAAAGATCTACTCTGTAGGCTAAAGTCAACATGGGAATTCAAAGTAACTTATTCGTTGAGAAGACACCACTAATACAGATAATGATATTTTTTTTAAAAAAAATAAGCAAGACATTAAGAGAGTCTCTTGGCAAAGTTACCTACTTCCTTAGCAATTCTGCCAAGAGATTAGAAGCGTTTTCACAAAAACATTGGGGAAAGGACGGTTTAAAGAAATTCTGTAAACCAGAAGACCTAAGAAAAGCACCTAACTGACCAAATAAATTATTTAAAAAGGAGAAGATTTCTAAATAGTTCCTCTACAGGATGCAAAGAGAGTCACCATAACATAGTGGTTTGAGTGCTGGACTATGAATCTGAAGATTAGGGTTCAATTCCCAACTTGGCCATGAAACTCACTGGGTGACCTTTAGCAAATTCTCTCATCCTTAGGGGAAGGCAATGGCAAACCTCCTCTGAATAAATCTTGCTAAGAAAACCCCATGATAGGTTCACCTTAGGGGTGCCCCATGTCAGAAATGACTTGAAGACATACAATAACAACAACAAAAACAACAACAACAACAGGATGCAAAGGCAAATGTGGATTTGCCACTGAGTATGCACAGAAAATTATACCAAATAATGTCAGCCTTGTCAGCACACTTGTGTAAAGCACAAGTTTACAAACAAGTGGTTGCCACATTCACAAATTTATGCTTAAGTGTATATTTGACATGTGTGAAGCGTTCCTAGCACTTAGAATTCTCCCTGCACTTCAAGAAGCTCTTTAACTTTCACAAGCTGAGTGTTTTATCTATAAGACAAATGTATCTGATGAAGCAAAGTTGTGGGGGTGGAGAAGGACAGATAAGGAGTGTGGCTAGTTTGCTGACTTCCTATTAAATGTCACAATCATGGCACATGCAAGATGGTGCTGAGAGTTTCTGCTTCTTGATTATCTAACAAAAGCTTTGATTTCTGAGATTAAAAGAGCTACAAAAGACAAAACCTGGCTACTTCTGACAAAACCCTCAGTTCTAAGCATAGTTATTCAGAAATACATCCCACTGAAATCAACAGGACTTCAGAGTTTATACACTTTGGATCACACTACGAGTAAGCTGTGTTGTCATTTTTACTTAAATCCAGGTTCTGAAAGTGTATAGGAACACAGCATGTTGTAAGAAGAACTTGAACCTGGGAAATTACTAAACTTCAAGTCTCTAATGGGATCTTTTATCCTATGATTACAGAGGTGGCTAGGGAATAGACTGACAGAGAAAGCTTTTCAATGAATCTGTGATTTGGGGATTCAAACATACAAAGACACTCTAACAGTCACTCATACACACAAGAACTCAGGAATAAAGTAGTTAGCTTGGACAGGAAACAGAAGGCTTTCTAACAGTGATAATTACCTGATGGAGGCTGCTCCAACAATGAATGAAGATAGATAGACTCGACCATTTATGAAAGGTAAAGGACAATGGGAAGAGCCGGGGCCCAAGTCAGAGTTCAAAGTGGCACAGTGTCACCATGAAAACTAACCAGACCCAAGGTGCCTGAGATTTTGGGGATCTTTTATACCCCTAAACCTAGCCTGAGGCGAAGAATTGTTATTGT